AAAAACAGTTGCTTTATTAGGAATTAGTTTGTACCATTGAATATTTGACGCAATAGACAAGGTGTCGCAGAAACCGATGTTGCTATAACCAAGTTTTACTGTATATATATTCGTCTTTCATGTAGTTCATGGATGTTGTGTGAATGTTGATTTCTCTTATATGCGGGTTACTTAGAAATTCATGGCAACTTTTTTGGGGGGGGAACAGACATGTTACAGGGAAGGAAGTTCAAAATATAATTATGAAAGGACATGATATACCCCTCTGATTGACTTGGTCAGATCAGGTAGATGTGTAGGGGCGTATGTATAGTAGGCAAGAAAAATTGCACATTACGGAATGACTTTTTTTTTCATTCTTTAATCCTCGAAAAATTCAGTTGTGATTAAGGAATAAAGAAATTTATTGTGAGTTTTGCAAAATTCGATGCACAGTTGCCTGGCCAATCCCTGTATGTCTGTCTTAACTCCTTCAGAGACCAGCGCCTATCTTTCTCCAAGGACTGGTCAATGACGGCATGAGAAGCATCGGTAAGAACGAACACAGGGCGTCCACTACGTTGCAAGTAGGCACTTGCTTCTCTTCCACATTGGAATGCTTCTGTCCTCCTTGCAACAGTTGTGTGTGGTAGAGCACGATCACGCAGAGCTTCCATAAGCTCTGAGTGACATTCAGTCGCATTTCTGCCCTGAAGGAGTGCTATTTTCTTGTAACAACGCTGTTCCAGCCAGCAGATGTACATTCTTGATGAAGGTTATGATCGGACTGACTTTGCTCTGGACTCGCTTCGTTGCCCCTTGACTTCTGCATCATCTAGCACAAGGGTATCCAAAGTACGGCCCGCGAAAGAATTGTGCAGAAATGCGCCAATTGAGCTAATTTTCCAATGAGTACTGGTATATTCACGCTCCTTAAAATGAATTATGTTTTTATCTAAATGATGTATTAAAATGTTTTCTGAGAGAGAGAGAGAGAGATTCAAATTCCTGAACAGTATTTTGTAAATACTAAATCGCCAAATAGTGATAGAGGTAAATTTCAAAATCTCAGTCAGTAGGAGAGTTTCAGTTGGGATTAAATCTCATGTGACTCCTTTACTGATGTGTTGCGGGATATCCTTTGGATGGCCTTACTGCTTGTCGCAGTATTCACCTTGTGGACTGTAAAAATTGTAAGTTTCTTGACTGCTGACTCTTCACTTACCAAGCATTACTGTCTGTAGGCAGTGAGAAAAATTAAAGAGAAAATGTACTTTAGAGTGTCAAGGTCATGTCTCCTTGTGGGGACATTACACTTTCTGATGCAGCCTCTTTAAATAATTGTATTTTACCTTCAAAGAAAGAGCTGCAATAGCGTAGTAGGTATAGCGACTTTCTATGTCGTGGATGACCTAGGGGTCGGAGTTAAAGTTCCTGTAGAATCAAAAATAACCTTTTCTCTACAGCATCCAGATCGGCTGCGGGGCCCACCCAACCTCCTATACAATGGGTGCCAGATGCTCTTTCCCTGCTGGTAAGGTGGCCATGGTATGGAACTAACCACTCACCTCCAACTAGTGTTTAAGTCAAGAAAACCTGGGCCTATACATCCACTTCCCCATACGTCTTCATGGCGTAGTGCTTAATTTCTTAAGCACAGGGAAAACTTTACCTTTATCTTACACTCTTAGGAGGAGCCTTATGTATGGCACATTGTGCACCATTGAACGTGGAATTTGTAACTGCAAGCTAGCAGCATGAATTGATTTGCGCAGACTTTTGTGGAATGTCTCTCTAATGCGATTGACATTTTCTTCAGAGGTCTGTCCCTTTCCAGGAGATTTTACATGCAGCAGACTACCTGTAGCCCTCAGTTCTTTGTCCCAGAACTGAATGATTTTCTGTGAGGATGTTGACCTCCATGTTGCATTCTAAAACAACACAGGACAGCCATAAGAGATTGCAGCTCTGCTAGTCACAATAAGCATAAAACTTGTTCCTGTGGTGTCGACATTGTTACTGAGCTCGCCGAAGGTAATTAGTTGGTGCATGTGCATAAGCCGGGCATGAAAAAAAACATTCAAAGTTTTTCTTTTTGATGACATAAACCAGATATGTATATGACAATTAGTTTGTGAGATATAAATTCTTATTTTGCATAAATTTCTTGCAGATTCCACGTACAGGGTCCAGCCCGCACAAGGCCACCACTCCCACACATAAGATCAAAAACAAAACAAACGGACAGAGACATTCATGATCCAAGCAGGACCCAAACCCATAATCCCAGCACTTGAGAGAGTGAAGAAGACCCACGCTCCAGACTGTACGGCCACCATGTTCAGTAAATGAGGAACTAGAGCACAATAATAATAAATCAGTTAAAATTCTTATTTATTTGCATGCCAACTCAACAGCCCAAGGACCAGTTACAATGTGAGCATGAGCGAAAGAAAGGAAACAAGCATATACCAAGTACAAAGGAAGGCAGAGTAATAATAATAATAAGCTTTCAAATTTAACTTAGCTTTAACATACTGTAACATGTTTGGCTACTGAAGACACTGTTCAGATTGTGAGTTTGTTTTATTAACAACCTACAAGTCGTAACTACAATTGATTATAACACTTTTGTGGGTTTACACAATTTACAAACCTTACACACTGATCTCTTCACACTATCTTCAGTAGTCTTCACTTATTTACAGTACAACACGGGAGCTATACAAGTGTCACTGAATTACACACTCCCAATACTTTCTCAGTTATCACAAACTATCACTGATTATCACACATAAAATCTTCTAACCATATGTTCAGTTATTCTTCTTCCCATGACTGACTGACTTCTGCTCTGCAGAATACTCCGAATACTAACTGACACTGTCTTAGGCGGCTGCTACATTTCAACTGACTCCTTAGTCCAAGTCCAAGTCATATTGCGACTGACGGTCAGTCAGTCAGTGAATCTTGGTGTCGAGCTCCGTCTGGGGCTCATGACCAGATATTTATTACTGTTGAACGTTACGGTTTTGTTTTTTTGTGGGGCGCCCCCTCTGACGAGAGGACAGGTCTGTCTTTTTTACATGCTAATGGCTCTTGCCAGCGTAGTCTTTCTCGGGTCTGAGTCCCTTGAGACTCAACATATTTTACTGTCTCAGATTTGAGACTTCCCTTCAAAGTCAAGGTCACGTAGCGACTGACGGCGTGTCAGTCAGTAAGTCTTGGTGTCGAGCACCCTCCTGGGGCTCATGACTAGATATTTATTACTGTTTGACAGTTACGGTCTTATTTCTGTGGGGGCACCCTCTCTGACGAGAGGACGGGTCTGTCCTTTGTATATGCTGCTGGCCCTTGCCAGCGCGGTTTTTCTCGTGTCCGCATCCCTTAGGACTTGCTACCATATTTTACTGTCTCAGATTTGAGACTTCCCTTTTCGTTGCCTCCTACGACTTGCAGGGTCACGGTGCAGGTATTCGACCCCGCCTCCACACGGGGTGACTCCTTAGGCATTCCAATCTCTCTTATAAACTCTCAATCGGACAGGCGGAAAACGCAGCTTGCTTCACTGTTGCGTGATGCCGTGTTTATAGAGGCGTTGCTTGGCAATGCTGCCAAGAGTTGTAAGATACGAGAAATCAAAATTTAAGAGAACGGAGATAAGTAAACTACGACAAAGCAACATAATATTAAATTACATTATATACTGTTCAAATGAGCCCAGAAGAAACATAATTGGTAGCTTATATTGAAGAATGCATACCACAGCAAACTAGTCTGACGCAAAATTTGAATCTACATAACCTAGTACTTCATTGTAATTAACATATAGTTGTGTTTATATGGGGGCACACAGTAGCACATTGGGATGAGGCACTACGTTACAAACCGGAAGGTGACGGGTTCGATCCCTGATGTCGTTGGATTCCTCAACTGACCCAATCCCTGCAGCTGCACCCTGGCTTTGCAGTTTAACCCAGCCTCTAATAGTTAACGAGCACCAGGAATCCCCTTGGGTGCAAAGGGCGGCCAGTATGTAAAGCCGACAACCCCACCGCCATCCGTGAGCTGGCTGTGCAGAAAATATGTGAGCCTCGACGGTCTGCCACAGGGACAGCTTCAACCTTTATTTCTGTTTATGTCAATTTGTCTGGTTACATACTGTAATGTTTTAATGTATCTCCTACATTTAATTACATGAGACATACAGTTAGCTTTGAGACACCACATTTATGGACGCAATATAAGAATATAAGTAGTTACTATAGAATTCTGATGATGGTGTATAACACACAGAGATATTGGGTTTTTGAACTTTATCCATCGTCCTGGTTTTTAAGATAACTAAGAAAAACACGACATTCCAGAAACTGGATCTGTTTCTGTCCTCAGGACGGGATCCAACAGAATAGCTGTTTTCTCCTCACCTGAGGACGGAAACAGATACAGTTTCCGAAACGTCGTATTTTTCTTAGTTATCTTAAAAACCAGGACGATGGATAAAGTCCGAAAACCCAATATCTCTGAATATAAGAATATCTTCAGGTATTGATCTCACTGTACAGTTCAGCTGGAAATCCGACACTCGTGCATCTTATCGTCCCTTCTTTGTAAGCTACATAGTTTTACAGCTGTGAGTTTATAAACGAGTATTTGGAGACCTGAGACTCTCATTTACAACAGACAAACATTCAATCACTGCTTCGCGCTGGAACTGCGGCCCACATGACTGAAAGTTGTCAGATCCAGATCCAAATATGTATTGAACCTTGTAATGGAGCTGTTCAAACATCTCCATTTTAGATGAGTTCTGTGCACAGAGCATATAAAACTTGTAAGTCAACGCATTTCAGCTTCGTAACAATTAAGCGGATTTCTCATGAAAGTTGATATTCCAAGTCTACACTTGAACTTGAAGCTCCCTAACAGAAGAACCTTCAGAATGAAGGAAGCTGAGAACTGAATGTGTATGTTCCAGTGACCTGTACAAGTCCATTAATCCTTCTACTTTATATTTTCAGGTCTTCAGTGGATCCAGACAGGCCAAACTAATGGGCGAGGGGGGTGGGCTGCCCACCCCAGGTGCCATATACGCCGAAACATCCAAAAGAGGAGATGTTAGTTAAGTTGTAAAATTCAGTGACCTGAATGGGACGCAAACCAGCATGAAGCAGGTAGCAAGCAAATGTCCTTGTGTTAACAATGAAATATGTGAATAAATAGATAAAATATGTTGATATTTCATTAATAATATTTTAGGATCTGCTAGAATGCCATATGTTACCCAAGGTACAGCTAATTGAATTAGAATTCATTAATGTATTAATTGTATCCGCTAAAGATGGCACTAACTTCGCCGACAAGCAGCGGTCGCTCGGTCGGTATAGTTTGCTTGCGGACTAAAGCCACGGAGTTTAGTTGTTTTTTTTATTTATTAATTGTATGAAAAATTAGTAACATCTATGATTTGAATTTTTAAGCACTGCGATTTGTTTACAGTTGTAAATACAGAAGTTACAGGTAAGTGGAGTAAATTTGTTCCCCTTTCCCCTTTGTATCCTGAATGTATGAATACAGATGTAGTTTTCAGTCTTCTACAGCAGTAGTACATCTGAAATCATCTGGTGAGCATCCAGTGATGTGATACTTTCTCATGCGTTTTTTAATTAAATGCACAAAATAAGGCAAATGCAAGGGTAGTGATGAAGTAATGTCTGTTTGTCCACATATTTTGTGAACGTTGGTTTTCAGTTCACTATACACATCAGCTGAAATTCAAATTGAACTTTATCAATTTTCTCAAAAATCTCTTTTCATACAAAAATTGGTATATGACAACAGCTTGTGAACCCATGTTGCAACATTGCTGTCTGTGCAGATGTCTAGCTGCTTTAACAGCTGTGAAATGTGACCAGCTGAAGGGCTAAATAGTTTAATTATACATTCCATGGATCCAAAATTAGTGAAAATTACTGTAGGATGTGGAATATGTCATGTAAATACAAAATATAGCCAGTCACGGTAGCTGAGCGGTCTAAGGCATGTATTGTCTTTGCCTGCTTGGAAACTGGGACCGTGGGTTCGAATCCCACTCAGGGCATGGATGTTTAGTTTGTGTGTGTGCATTTTTCTGTGTTTGTGTACAGGTAGAGGCCTTGCGACGAGCTGATCACCCGCCCAAGGAGTCCTATCGAATGTGTTACATCTAGAAAAACCGAAGTGAACTGAGAAGTTCATGGAGGTAGGCCTAGGCCCACTGGGGCTGTAGTGCCAAGAAAAAAAAAAAACTATATGTTCAGTCCCAGTGGAGTTCTCACACAATTCTTCATTATTTGTAATGAAGTTTATAAATTAATATATATATATTCACAAGGAAAAGTTAAGATCTGTAGTCTCTTAAATAGATCTCTACAGGAATTATGGGATTTGACACCCATCATGATTCTAACGATTTTCTTTTGCAGTATAAATACTTTTTTAACTGTCATATGAATTACCCCAAAAATTATTCCATACTACATTAAAGAGTGAAAGTGAGCAAAATAGATTGATTTGAGAGTGTCAATGTTACTAACATGTAACATGAATCTAACTGCATAACATGCTCTACTTAGATAAGACTTCAAAGGATTCTGATGATGGTATATACTGTACTACTTTTGGCTTATTTTGGACTTCATCCATCGTCTGGTATGTAAAAGACAAAAAGACCACGATGTTTTGGAGACTGGATCTGCCTACGTCTTTAGGTGGGTAGGGGAGGATAAACCTACTCAGTTGAGCCCATTAGAAAGAGCTAGCCCAGTGATTGACGTTAGTGATATTCTTCTGTTTTACTGACAATGTCACCCATGTTTTTAACATGCATGCACACATGAACAATGCTGCTAGTAACCTCAGACTGAATCTCACCAACTGTTTGTGTTGCTAGAATTAGTCTTGGTCATTTGTCAAGACCTCTTACATTTGGCTACATTAATTTCATATTTTTTAAAAGTAGATGTGTCCTGAACCACAATTAATGCATACGGCCAAATTTACTGATGTGATAACAAGTATATCTAGATATCACCCAGATGATTTTACCCTTCTTCAATCATTACACTTTCATAACAAGACACATTCTGTAAATATGATTCTGGGTGTACATAGTACCAAAGTGGTAAATATTAATTTTGTATTTACCATACAGACTACATAATTGCATAAGATTTTCTGTATTTCATATAAGCTACAAAGACACAACTTCATATACATAATATTATATGGAAAAGTAATTGTTACATAATAAAATTGCATCTGCTTCTAATGACACTGTATCTCCATTTCATTAACTTTACTGATTTAGTAGAGTGTGACTCCAATATTGCACTTCTTGCATTAAAACAATGGCCTCTTCTTGCACTGCCCTTTGCATTCATGCTTGATCTTCACAATAATCTGGGACAGGTTGTGTGTTCCATCATGTCATTTCATGAAGACTTCTGAATACTGGTTGCTGCAGATTTTGAAAATCTAGCAGGCTCATGAAGCCTCCACCATGGAAAACCCGTCTCTGAATGGTGAAGCAACAGCACGCATTTCAGTCATGTGTTAAGCTTATGCTGTATAGTTTTCTTTACCAGCAACTAATTTTTCCCAGTACACCTGTAACAGTATTACGTATATGCACATTGTAATAACTGATGTAACTCTGCCTGCTCTGTGCTGGCCATTTGCCTCACATTTCTGCCCATGGCGCAGAAACTGGCTCAAACTTGTACACATCTGTTGATATTTCATGTGACAACAGACAGATGGACATTTCAGTCACATTGACAGTCATAAGTTTCCTGTGTAATTTCCTGCTGTTGCTGTAAAGGCTGGCAAGTACAGTGTACAAAATGGTTGTCTGTTATGGTACTGGTTCCCCTGTATCTTAAACCCCTGAGGGTGAAGCAGTAGATAGTGTCTTGTGAAGAAGTTGTCACAATACAAAACTGGTTGCCAGAATTACCAGAACCTTTCTGTATGTTCAAGATCACGTCTGTCAGTGTAACTCTCTTTCATTTCATGCATCTTGTTGTGTTACAATGTACAACCTCTTTATTACAACCATCACAACACAACAAATATCAAGTTCAGTGCCTAGTTTTGGCTATCAATAGCCATCATTAGGCAAATACACGGTTAACATATATACACCACTGAACTGCAGTACTAGTAAAATTGGATACAGTACTATTGATTATATAAAACACTTGATGTAAAAATACAATAAATCAGATTATATAAAACAGAAGTTATAATATAAAACAAGAATAAAATTGACTTGAAAGGATTCTGACGATGGTGTATACTGTACTTCTTTTGGCTTATTTTGGACTTCACCCATCGTCCGGTATAAAAAAGGCAAAAAACCACAACGTTTCGGAGACTGGATCTGTCTCCGTCTTCAGGTGTATAGGGAAGGTTTAACCTACTCAGTTGGGCCCCTTAGAAAGAGCTAGTCTCAATCACTGGACCAGACTAGCAGCCCTGAAGATGGGGGCGATACGTTCCTCCAAAACGTCGGTTAACACCACATATACACGGTGCCAAATCCCAGAAGACTGCTTTCTTCAGAGTAGGGCATGATTCTACGAGGGCAAGTCAATAAGTAAGTTACAAATGAATATGGAACTTAAACAAATAAGAGTACTGATTTCAAAAATGCTTTTATTTCTCAACATAATCTCCATGGACATTGAGGCACTTGTCCCATCGTTTCACAAGCCCCTGAAAACCGGCAGCATAAAATTCTTCGGGCTGCTACTGAAACCAGGCGGTGACTTCCCTTTCTACACCTTCATCGCCGGGAAAATGTTCAGCCGAAAGATGATGTTTAAGGGGGCCGAACAAATGGAAGTAGGTTGGGGCTATACAGAGGATGCTCAAGGACTTCCCACTTGAAATTTCGCAGCGTCTCATTTGTCTAGGTGGCAGTATGAGGACGTGCGTTGTCATGCAAGAGCAACACGCCTTTGGTGAGGAGTCCTGGTTGCTTCCATTGAATGGCCTTACAGAGTTTACTGAGGATGTTACAGTAGGAGTCGGCACATCTGCCTGATTTCAACAGCAGCGCAAAGAATTTTATGCTGCTGGTTTTCAGGGGCTTGTGAAACGATGGGACAAGTGCCTTAATGTACAGGGAGATTACGTTGAGAAATAAAAGAATTTTTCAAATCAGTACTCTATTTGTTTAAGTTCTATATCCATTTGTAACTTACTTATTAACTTACCTACGTATATATCCACTTTCCCATCCATCATCATGGCTTGATGCTTAATTAAATACAGGTACAATTTTACCATGTTATGACTGGATTTTTAAATTGACCTAATCTTTCCAGCTGCACTATGGTCCATGGGGTCAACTCAGCCTCTAACAAAAATGAGTACTAGGACTCGTCCTGTGGGTAAAGGGCAGCTGGCATATAAGGCTGACACGCTCACCCCCATCCGTGAGCTGACTGTATAGAAAATGTGGGAGCCTCGACAGCCTGTTACAAGGATAGCTTCACCTTTTATGACATAATGTGCATTTACCATGTTTGCTGCTGGGATACACTGTGTGTTCTGCAACCCAAGATGGTCAGTATGCCAAGTTCATGGAGCTGCTTGATAGTATCCTCTGGCCAGTTTTTAGATGAGAAGTTCCGTGGACTGGGGTGTGGAATGGAACCAATCTGATAAAAGAATTAATTGTGCTCCTTAATGACTATATTGATAAATAACTAGTGCAATGTATTACTAAATCTGCTACATATTTCAAACGTTTCAAAAATGCTGAAACATATATGTATACATTACAATTTATGAAAAAGGTAAAGCTATCCCTGTAACAGGCTGTGAAGGCCCATAGGGTTGTGAGGCATCTACTATGTGTTAATTGGATGAATGACAGCTGATTTTGTAAAACATTAAAGAGGAAAAAGGAGTCAATATTTTCTGGGACTGACTGTTGAGCAATACTGCAGGTGACATATTTTCTGGGACTAATGACTGCTGACATATACCTTTGAATCCAAGAACAATTGCTGCATCATACTGGACATACATGTACAGTGTAAAATTGTAACAATATTACTGCACTGCTGCTGGCAGTACCAGAATAAAAGATCTGAGGTTTTAACAGTGGTGAATGACATAATGCTGTGTTGTGAGGTACCAGCATTCAGAGGAATCTGCTGCCTTCACTCACCTTAAGGACAGAAATGACTTCTACCATGAAAATGGAGGCAACAGTCTTCTTACTGTTAACAGGATATCATTTGTATAGCAGAAGGCTTTGATCATTAGACAAAGTAGATCAAGAACTGAATGTGGGATCTCAAATGTCCCATGGGACAACTGTTCTTTTAAACAAGTAGCCATCTGTTTTTACTACACAGACTTGTATTACATAACAAGTAATGTAAGGTTATTACTTTTATTTTGCCTTTAAGTTCTGTGCCTGTGACAACTGAATTAGCCCTTGCTTCAGCAAACTTTCCAATAGCTACAATCATCTCCACTTGAAGCAGGAGAAGAACATCATGTAAAGCTTTGTCACATATTTCATTAAGTAGCCGTCGCTCTGAAGCCTGCCAACAGAACAGCAATATTATAACATGTATTTAATTTTGTTTGCCTAGGCTAATAATCACAGCACACATGAGTAGATCATTTTGCCACATGTTGAAAATAAAACTGTCAAGACTTATAATTAACTTGATATTAAATATGTATATGATAGTAATGCATTACTTTAAAAGCAGTTTACTAAGCACCTTAAGTTCTGTTGGAGTGATGTTTTTACCACTGTTCGTCATGAAGGCCAGTGGACAATAGTTGTACACAAAAGCTTGCTGAAAGAATATGTCTGGGTCCCTGCAGAGATTCTGGAATAGACCCCAAAATTTTCGCCCGCTCACCTCGCTGCGTTTACATTCAAGTCCCAACACTTGTCTGGATGGATGCTCCTTTTGTGGTCGCCCAATGTGACCAGTTATTTTCAGCCAATCTTGCACAATTTTCACTTCACCAAATGGAACCTAAGTCAGTAATGGTACATTTACATTTATTTTCACTTCTTGGATCCAATCATCTCCCCATAGGGCTGGATATAAAACATGTCACATATTACAAATGCATGATGACTATGCATCATTCGTCCTTTGTCCAATAAAATATATAATCAGGCCTCTCACAGATGGCTTAAGTTGTCAGGACAACACATATGGGTCGTGGAAAAACCACTGTCAAATTCACGCCTTGCCATTCCGCACACTGGCAAGCAGTATCATTAAAAAGTTACATTATAAAATATTAAAATTCATAACAAAAACAGACATCATACGTACATACTACTACACTTATAAGTCTCAATAATACATAATTCACGCACACAGGCCATTTATTAACTCTTTAACTTTTGAGCCCCTTGCATGCTCGACAAATTCATCAATAGAGTAAAATACATTACTTTGCAAATAATTTTGTAAAATAAACCTAAATTGCTTTTTATCATTTTTTAAAACTGTGATATTTGACGGCAGAGTGTTAAATAGCTTGACCCCTGAATAATACACCCCTCTCTTATAGGGTGATAAATGTGTTGAAGGTATGTGAAGGTGGTCATTCCTTCTGGTACCAATTACATAAACAGAGTTATTGGTCTGAAACTTATCCACATTATTAACAACAAATGTCATCAATGAAAGCAAATATACACATGGGATTGGTAGTATGTCAAGCTTCTTAAATAGATCTCTACATGTATGAGTTGGGCCCACTCCCATCGTTATTCTTATTATTTTCTTTTCTATAACAAAGACCTTATGACTGTTTAATGAATTTCCCCCGTATATTATTCCATATTTCACCAATGAATGATAATATGCATAATATACAGCTTTAAGACTATTTATATTTAATATATAGAATAATTTTTGCATTAGAAAACAAACTGTGCACAGCTTGTGAAGCAAAAAATCGATATGTCCCTTACAAGTCAGATGACTGTCCAGCTGCAAACCAAGAAATTTTATTGTTTCTACTTCTTTCAGCTTTTTGTTAAAAAAAATGTATATACAGCGTAGCTTGTAGCTGCTGTTGGGGTGAATTTTATAATTTTTGTTTTATCCAGATTTAACACTAATTGATTATCTTGAAACCATGTAAACATGTGATTAAAACATCCAATTTTATTTTTAAATTATAGTAGTATTTAGCTGTGCAAATGATGCTTGTGTCATCTGCAAACATAAAACTTCTGAAATTTTACTTATTTCAAGGGGGAAATCGTTTATGTATATATTAAAGTGTACGGGTCCCAACACCAATCACTGAGGCACACCACATCCAACAATTTCCCAGTTAGAATAATATTTATTATTTATATAATTTAATTCCACTCTTTGCCTCCTATATTGGAGGTAAGGTTTACACCCTGCACTCCATAGTACTGCAGTTTCATTAATAGAAGATCGTGCTTAATGCAGTCAAAGGCCTTGGCTATATCACAAAACATACCAGTTACATACTCTTTTTCTATTCCAAGCTGTAAGTATTACATTGCATCTTCAGCTGATAATCCCTTTTTGGAATCCATACTGCGCTGAAAGTAATATTTTGTTTTACGATATGATTATTGAGTCTTCTAAAAATTGCTGTTTCAAAAACTTTTGCAAACCCAGTTACTATAGATATTGGCCTGTCGTTAATTATAACAATTTTTTTTATAATACTGCCTTAATAATTGCATACTTTAATCTTTCTGGATATAGACCCATGGTTAATGACTTACTAATTACATAAGTTAGAGGTTTACTAATTTGGTGTCTGCACAGTTTTATAATTTTATTTGTTACATCATCTGAAGATGAAGATGATGAAAACTAGTTTGTTTTTTTTATTTTAATTTGCTAATTATACTAATTATTTCCTCTTCTGCAACTAAATTAAGATTCATATCTGGAATACTATTCAGGAAATGGGAATGCAAGTATGACATTGCAGTATAAACATTAGTTTTCTCAATATTAAGATTTTCTGTTATTGATGTGAAATATTTATGGTATTGTAAAGCAATGCTGCCATGTTCTGAGATATTACAACACACATGTAACAGTCTGTGGAGTCAAAATGCTGTGGTTAATACTCTCTGTATTAGGAAGGTTCTGGGCTAATCTCTGACCTTGGAGACTGCCTTTGCTGCCTGAGATTTTAAGAAAAATGGAAAGATAGATACCTCAAATTAGGCCATGGCCAATCCCTTTTACATCCTTTCCAATTCATTATTCACTAATCATCCTCTCATTCGACAATATATAATCTGAGCTATTGAAAGAGTTGTTAAATCAATATATATGGATATGAGCAAGTACCATCCTAGTTTATGTATAAGTATTGCACTTCCATTACTGCATTTAATTTTGCAGAATTTGTTATATATGCTACAACTGCTCTTGGTACTTATATTTGAAAATAAAATTGCTGCAAGTGATAACAGTATTCTAATACAATATTTATTCATGATTTTATCTTGTGGTGTGCTGCATTCATCAATGGCTGAAGTTCAGCCTAGATTACACAAAATAGTTCTGAATACGGGCATTTGCTGCTATTACTGGTGACACTATTATGCACATTAACTAGTTATTATATCTGTTTTTAGATATTTATGTTCATTAGCAGAGCAGTTTTCTTTGTTAATGATTATAACTGTAATCCTTGATTTAATTTTGTTGTGCATTTTCACTTTGTGTCTGTTTGCAGTCTTGTCTTTCGAGTAGCCTAAGCCTTGTTCTTTAGTCAGACTTCCATTTGTACCAGAGCCTTAATTTACAGAACTGATTTTTGTGTCCATGTTTTGTGAGTGGATCAGCTGCCAAATTTCCAATTAGTATGATGAGGAAAACTTGCAAACATTTGTATCATCTATTCCGATGATATGAATATTGAAGCATGTATCCTCAATATAATTTCAGCATAAAAAAGTGCTGCACTGATAGTTTGCAAATTTGCAAGTCAGTGGTACATACATTATTAAATATTTTGCAAGGCAAATTTTTACAACAACATTAAGTTGAGCTATCTTACCCCAGTTTGTGACATTCCCCATGGGCCAGGGTTCATTCCCAAAAATAAAATCTGTTTTGTTGATGTACAAAACTTATGAACAAAATTTGAGTGCATACCATATGCATACTCCAAGGGATTGTAAATATACTCTACTGGACCAGAAAATAATATGGCACTTAATCTGGTACACTGCTGTAATTCTATAGACAGCAGTCTATGAGATACTGTATCTGATCCCTCAGTTGCATTTGCCATCAGGAATGTAAAATGTATGTACTTTAATTATAAATGGAACAGTTGTATTCGACACTTTCTATTCAAACGAACGTCAATATCACGTATTTTTCGTCACAGTTTTATAACATTATCAAATTGCGGATTATGCTACAATTAATGCCTACAGTTAACGGTTTATATTTAATCTTATCCATATCCTCTCCCATCAGCCTTATCACCAACAGACATACGATATGGACCAATATGGACAAATCATGGATTATACCAGCGGTTCTACACACATTTCTTTCCGATATATGCGCTATAAATAGCGGTTCAATCTGGAACTACTACGAAGTAGACATGGCCCGCTTTAATAAGTTCATTCTGTTACGAGTGGTTACGAGCGTATGGAACTATAATCTGTGGATCAAAAGCGGGAAGATGGATACTTATACAGAATTTCTGAAAACACGCACGTCGCTTGTCACATGTCAGGTGATGTGTGTTTCGGTGTGTTTGTGTTATACAGAATATAGTGGGTGTGGTGCTTTTTAAACTGGTGTCAATTAATGTAGCAGTTGTAACAATGGCTTCACGTTCTTTTGACTATATTACGTCACCATTTGAAAACGTTTTCAGTTTTTTGGGAAGTTTGCCGCAAGGTCATGAAAAGGCAGTGAAACATGCTCTTTATAATGCATTAGCCCTTTTCTTGTTAATAATATTGAGTGCAACTGGTTGGGGATTGTTTATTATTTTTGGTCCTTTCATTAAACCTTTAGTGTGGGCCTTATTGTGTGGTTCTGTACTCCATCCTTTTAAACATTCATTGGCAACTGTGCTTCATTCGTGGTTGCAAACCTTGGAATCATCTTCAACATTATTACTTTTTGGCATTCTGATGGTACCTGTGAATATTATTGATGATATCTCAGAGAAGCTAGGAGGGCAGCTTTCCAAACACATGAAAACACTAGCTGTAATTGCAGTTACTGCTGTTTTGCTACACTTGTTTTATTTTTACACCCCACATGTATTCATCTGCCTTATTTGGCGTTTGGGGTTGTTTAGCAACGCAGCTCTATCGTGGTTCATAGGACACATCAGTACAGCAATTGTGAGTTTTGAATTTTATTATGAATTTATAATATATTAGATGAATGGATCCATATTAAAAGAAACTTTCAGCAATGTGGTGATTACTGTCACATTTAAAAATACCTGGAAAATTTGGAGAAAAGCCTACATAACAATACTAGTGAAACCCCAGAGTTTGTAAGCTGAGACTTAAGGAGGGGCTGCATGATGTCCTGTTTAGAGTGGTGTCAGTGTTTGACAATTAAATGTCAGAAACTACATGGCAGATATTGATAATGTGCATATTGTTTTAAAGGCCTTCAGATACGTCTTCCACAGGTGGCACAGTGCTTGGACCTCAGCTGGCACAGGGTTGTATGTCTAGCTAAGTAGGGGGGTTGCTGTGCTGTCCCTGGTCCAGAGACAGAGAGCAACGGGAAGGTTCTGTTGTCAGTGCTTCTGGATTGTCAAGTGAAGTACTATTGAATAAAATGGCCATCTGTACCAAAGGTTTGAAGTGTGCCGTGGGTAGCAAGTTTGCTGTGCCTGATCAAGGACTATAAAATTTATAAATTCCTTTACATATGCAACATGGTATGACATGCAGAACTATTAAGTTCTCACAACTGTGGGTGTGAAGAGTTCTGTCTTTTGGAATATAACACTGTGTTAGTCCACTGAAAGTCGAGTGACATTTTGGAGGTACATTTCACCTCCATCCAAGCAAGAAACCAACATGAATCAGGCTGCAAACAGGTTTAAAAAGTGTTGTATTATGTAGAATTAGAAGGCACCTTGGAAGGCAACCCAGCAGATTCGCAAGGCCGTCATTCCTGCTGTGAGGTTTTCTCCATCCAGCATTGAGCTGGGTTTGGTCGCTCTCCTGCCTTGTGCTTAGTCAGTTTTCAGCTGCATTATCAAGGTGCTGTTTTGGCAGAACATCCAGTTGGTTTTCCTCCCACTGGGGAAGATCCCTAGTTCCCTTTGGCTGGTCAAAGATGACTGGTGACACCAGGAGTAAGCAGAATCCCCCATGACTGCAGTCAGGTTTACATTGGACAGACAGGCTGGTTGAAGGAGCATCATTGTCATATCTGGCTAGAACATTTGGACGAGTCAGCTATGGCGGAGCCCAGCATCAGCTCTGGATGCTGCATCCACCTCCATAACAGGAACATTCTCTCCAGTGAACCCGCTTCATCAGGGAGGCAAGTGAAGCTGGGCCCCATTCCAATAATTTGGAGTGGGAGGATGGCTTTTGTGTAAGAAAGTCATGGAAATATTTCATATCCTCTCTGAAAGATCATAGGAAACCTCCTTCATGGGATTCTCTCATTGAATTCTCCACTGGACCGTGTAGGTCTGTGTACACTGCTGTTATTAGGGTGCCAACACCATCCTCTCCAGTTGCCCATCAACCATAAGCTTCTTTCTTACTGAGCTTTCACTCACTGCCTTTGCTCATCCTGTCTCCAGCTAGTTGCCTACAAGAAGCACACGATTTATGTCCCTCCCTCCTTGTCTCTGCCTCCCCCCCACAAACACATGCACGGACCTATATCTTCCCTCCCTCGTGTTGCCATATCTGCCCTTTGAAGGGCAAACCTAGTAACTCTTCACCTGTCCAGTATTGGTTCAAGTGACTCTCTGAAGGAGCCAATGTAGCTGATGGGTTGGCCCCCAAGGTTCCAGGTGTATGTGTGTAATTCCTCATTTTTGCAAGTCACTTGCACTTCTTGTTGCTGCCTGCTTCAGGCTGGGTTCTTTCTTGGCTTACTCTTAAACCCTGAAGATGGAGGTGACATGTTCCTATATAATATTGGTTGACATTCGACAGACTACAAGGAGTTATGACGTAGAAGATAGAACTCTTCACAGTATCACATATGGGAAACAGTTTTAATTTTGAAGCACAGAGTCGCCAGAAGTAAATGACATGAGAATCATGATGTGTGAAATGATACATGGTAATTAAAGGCAAGAATTCTTTTAGCATCCAATGAGTGGTATTCATGATTCTTATGTCACTTATTTTTGGAGACCTTTCAGTTTAAATTAAAGATCTGAAGAAATGTGGAACAGGTTTCAAATCAAGGAAAAGAGGATGCCTGACCATCCAACCGAGCCATAAGTAAACATGGCTCACTTAAATGCCTAATTACTCACTTTTAAATATTACAGCACCTTGCAAAAAAATTACAAACTAATGATTGAGTGCTAGTGGGATACGAGCTACTTTCTTATACTTGTGCTTGTAAAGGCAGCAGAGAATTTCTCAATAGGCTGTAACTTTTATTAAGCAATAAAAAATAGCAGTTTTTCAGAAATAGTACACCACTCGAAAATCGACATTTCAAGACCTTCACAATCTGTGCCATATTTATAAATATATATAGTTTTAGAAAAGTTGTGTAGTTGACCTTGTCGTCATTAATTTAGCAAGCCCCCATGGGTGCCCCATTGCATTTCAGTGCAAACAAAGAGGGGGGTACACATTCCTCTCAGATTTGATCTGATATGGATTCCTTCAGGTGCATTAAAAGTTTGAGAACTCATGTGGGGTAGTGCATTAAAAGTTTGAGAACTCATGTGGGGTAATATAAAGGAACTCTTTCGCAGACAGAGGTCATAACCACACTAGTTTTAGAAAAGTTGTGTAGTTGACCTTGTCGTCATTAATTTAGCAAGCCCCCATGGGTGCCCCATTGCATTTCAGTGCAAACAAAGAGGGGGGTACACATTCCTCTCAGATTTGATCTGATATGGATTCCTTCAGGTGCATTAAAAGTTTGAGAACTCATGTGGGGTAGTGCATTAAAAGTTTGAGAACTCATGTGGGGTAATATAAAGGAACTCTTTCGCAGACAGAGGTCATAACCACACAGTACTTTCTATAGCATGTTGCATAACATGAGCTGTATTGTGGATGGTGGGTGCAAAGGACTCCACACATGGATGACTGGTACTCTGTCCAGAAATAGTGTATATATTAGTGAAGTCTAATTTTACACCAAACAGTTATTTATAAGATGATTTAACTTGACTCTTTAGAGCCAAGTGGTTCTGTATGTACTGCTTTCTTTAACATAACAAAATCCTTAATTCTGCTCATAGAGTTTTATTTTTGTGTCTCACATGGTTCTCAGTTGTTTCTCCAACAGACAGCTTCAGTTGATGTTTATAGCAAAGACATAGTGTTTTTGCTCTGAGATATGAACTGAATTTTTACAAATTATTTAGAAGAAATCGAGTTTTTAAAAGGTTAAAGAGTAACCATGTGTTGTATGTTCCTTTTGTTAAGCAGTTTGCATATCTTGAAGTAAATGTATTGTTTGATTGTCTTAGTGATTTTCAGTTGTAGTATAGTCCCCAAATGTTAACAGTTTGCAGTTGAATTTTTTTCAAGAAAATGTCTTCTTTTGTAATGTGAAGGATTGCTAACAAGTGCAGCCCTTTGAACTCTCGTGTAACGACACTCCCCCTTCTCACTTCCTCCACTGTGAGGTTAATGTTAAGGTGGATACAGCATCACTCACTGGGTTAAGGTGGATGAAGCTGCTCACAATGAGCCATCTAACAATGACACCGAAGAACTGGGCACCAGCTCACGTTGGTGAACACAAGATCTCTCAGGGTCGTTAAAATGAGACTTGGCGCCAACAACAGAGTCAATCAAACCAAAGAACGATCCCACAAACGCTTGACACTTTATTATATATTTCACAATTTTACACGATTCAATGTACTTGTAGATTTTTACTTCATATAGCCCTTTGTTGAGGGTGAGATGCTAAACATATGTCTTGCATGTTTTGAAACTTTAACGCGTGTCTCTGACACAAAGGACTGCTCATGATATTAAATGACTATTGAGATGATGTCATACCTAGTGGCTAGCAGCCCTGATTTAACTACTTGTGAAGCTTACATCATACATCCCCAAGCAACAAGGGAACCCCAGAATTACAAAACTCCATGAGAAGTCATGCCATATTGCATCATCTTATACTCAGCATATAGCCTATGTCACCATATAATATGTAATGATATATTTTATTTAACAAATTTAAAATTTAAGCAAACTTTATAAAAATATGAACGTATCCATTAAATAACATCTACATATTCATAAATAAGGCGAAGTAGGAATAGTAATCGGTTACACTCGTATGGGTTCTAAGGTAAATGGCAGTGTCATTTCCATATTCCAACAAAATTTGCAGAATATTTAAATGAAGAGGTTAATGTAGTTTCACTGTTTTCATATCCAAGAGAAAAACACTGTAAATATGAAACTACCCTGGATTGTATAATGCAAATGGGGAGTGAAACATGTGTGTATAAGCTGCAGCTGAGGTCCACACTGTCTGAGACAGGCACTGAATTCTGCTCTGAAACTTGGATAGGAAGAAATGACTGACTGTATCTTATCAGATTTGAGTGATGGAAATGAGACAGACAGAAACTGACAATTGAAAATAAATTGGAAGATGGCATTACTCCTTGCATTGCAGCTGTGTGGTTGTTACCAGATGTCATATTTGTGGAGGTCCACATGAACACAGATTTCATTCTTACCCACACATATCCACATGTAAATTAACATTTTAGAGTTGTTTAATTATAATTGTGGGATTGTCGATGTTCTGAAAGACAGTCACGTAAATCTGTAACAGTTATATATATTAAATTGTATAAATTTAATGTACAGAATAGCTGCGAACCTATGTGGAATGTCAAAATTTGGCTGGCCCTGAAAAGGGCAGTTTGTTCCACCGTGAGTGCACTGGTAGAATTTGCTCCTCTGTGGTAGACCAAGTCTTTATGGCCATTCAGCTGGTTTGTCCGGCCGGCAATGTGGTGCTGCGTGTGCCTGTAGGAACAGCTGCCTACAGTGCGGTTGCTGGAGAGTTGCGGCAACTATGTTAGCTGCCTGGTTGCAGAGCAAGGTTGCTGGAGAGTTGTGGCAACTACGTTGGCTGCCTGGTGGCAGAGCGAGGTTGTTGGAGAGTTGCGGCAGCAACATTAGCTGTCTAGTAGCAGAGCGCGGTTGCTGGAGAGCTGTGGTAGCTACGTTAGCTGTCTGGTAGCAGAGCGCGGTTGCTGGAGAGTTGCGGCAGCTATTTTTGGCGCTCTGAACTGAATGTGATCACTGATGATTGCGAGCTTGGGGCTCCGCTTTTATATCATGCTTGCTGGGCGGAGCTTAAACTTGCAGTTGCGATTGTGAGCGCTGATTGGCTAGCGCATGTGGTGATCTACAGGTGGGCTGAACATCGAGTGCTGTATAAATACGAGTGGTGGCAGCAATATGCGGCAATGTGATATTTACTAGGAGTGAGTGCTGTCTGTTAGACTGGCAAAACTGCGTGTTAGTATGTGGGATGTTCCCACATAATTATTTTATTTTGAAAATGTGGCATTTCTTTGAGAGAAGGTTTTATTGTATTTTTTATTATGTTATGACAGAGTCTACCCAAGTAATTTCTGAAGTAAGCATTCTGATGCATGTTATTCATTCTTTCTGAAATCCTCTTTCCTTTAATTAGGGTCTCCATCTTTATTGTAGTCTAGCTTTGCAGTGATTTTTAGGCAGCCAGTCAGGTTTCCCTGTATTACACAATAAATACTTATCAGAGGTCTTACTGGTCAGTGAATGTGTAATGTAGGTATGTAAATTACATTACAATTTTTCGCTTTCTGAATATAATGTTTTAGGTCATGGGTGCTGTGATTGGCTATGTCAGTGTACTGGCATTATGGTGGCAGCCAAGGCTTTCAAAACCATTCACATATGCTTCCTGTTTTATCTGGATTCTTGTGGCATGCTGTGTGGCCAACATGGCTAATTCCTTCCAGGTATGCAGCAAAATTCTTTTAATTCATGTGCAGTAAATCCTTGCTGATCCAGAGTAATTGGTGGGGGTGTCATTAAGATTAAGTGATAATCCAGATTAGTGAAATAAAAAGTATCCCTAAAAGAAAAAAAAATTAGGACACAAATAAATGGAAAATTGAATAAGTAGTGCTGATGAAAATAAATAGAAAAATATCACTGTAAAGCCGTTATTGATAAACTTTAAAAAAACAATACATTTATTCATTGATAGAAGACTCAGAAGTTGTACTTGTTTTTGAACATGATAATGCAGGTTTGAAGAAACTGTCAGGTTGTGTCTGAACAGACAAGTGACTCATCTGCCTTCCTTAAAGCCATGTGTCTTTTGAAGTATATATTCAACTGTGAACATAATTTTTTATATTTCAATTTGGATTATGCAGCATCTAGATTAACTATAACCAGATCAGTGAAGGTTTACTGTAATAAATTCCTTAAAACACTGCTAAAAAAGATCATTTCTTTAGAAGACTAAAATTTTGTGAATGTGGATATTACCTAACATGACGATCAAGTGGATAGCATTTCTGCTGTGTATTTTGGAGATTCTGGATTCAAATCTTGCTTCAGAGATTGGTTATCCTTAATAAATTTTTCTGTTTTTGTTGTTTCTCCCAGTTTCCATTTGCTGATGATCAGTTAATACCTCATTCTATATCCCTGCCTCTTTCTTGTTTATGCATTCCAATTTATTATTCACTGATCATCCAAATTTTATGGTACATAATCTGGGCTTGTAACAGCATCATTAAAAGATGCAAAGCTGTCCCTGTAACAGGTCTTGGAAGCCCATAGTGTTGTGAGAAATAATGGCTCCCACATTTTCAACCATTCGGTTCACAGATAGTGGTGATGTTGTCAGCCTTAATGCACCTACTGGCCTTTACTTCCAGGAAAATTCCTGGTACTCATTTTTGTTAGAGGCTGAATTGCAGGGTCATAGTGTGGCTGGAAAGATTAGGTCAATTGAAAAATCCGTTGACCTCATCGGAATTGAACCTGCGACTTCCCTGCTTGTACTGCCTTGACCAACTATTCTGCCACATGCTCTGACACCATCACTAAATAAATTGTAAATAAATAAGTTGAAAACTGGAGATAACACTTGTTGCTCTAATGGGGCATTTCTGCAAAGTGAAATTGGTGAGCTTCTTGGGAATGCGAGTTGCCTTTTGAATATTTTGTTACATGTGAGTACTTACTGGTAAGAGTAATGAGCAGACTGTAAGCTTGACTACTGGGGTTTGGCTCCTGCCAATGTCATTTTAGGTTTTATCACATTCAGGGTGACTCTCAGACCCAGCCCGTCTCCTGTCAAGTCACTGCTGGCAGTTGGGCATGAAGAATACCATCACATCCATTTAATGTTAAGGTCAAAAATGCATGAATCTTTTAATTAATCTTTGCTGTGATGGTCCCTGTACATGACATGATGCGTTGGTCACTCACAGGGGTAACTGTACCTTTTAGTATATTCCAGTATATCTGAATCTGAAATAAAATCCACTGCAAAAGTACTGTATTGTTCAGCACTATACAACATGGCACTGTCATAATATAGGTTGAGAATTTAGTGCAAGCCATTGATCAATTTCAGCTGCACAGCAAAGTTTAGTCTTCTGTTTCAGAAGTTTCTTAGACAGTATAACTGAATGTGCTAAACACGAAGTTCCCTGGTGTGAATGGAAACCAAGTGAAGTATTGCGGTGTTCAGAGTTTGGTGGGTCAGTAATTTAATGCAATATGCTGTCATTGATGTATGCTGGTATCGTGTGATGAGAAGTTTTACTATGATTGGTCTCCTGTAATGTTGCTGCATTATTAAGTAGTGGCTAATATAATTTATTAGTGTTTTATTATTTACAGGTGTCAATTTTTTTCTTCATCCAGGCCATGTTTCTAGCAGGTTTTGTGGTGGAAGTATGGCACGTCTATGAGAAGATGAAGGATTCTGGTATGGTGTTTAAATTATTACTATAATATGTAATTGTATTTGTTCTTACCAGAAATTTTGAACTTGGAGTAGCAGAAAGGCTTTAGCTTATTGGCATAGGGGTGTGGGTTTCTAAATTTTTGGTTGGTAATGAAGGCCAAAAGTATGAGATATATTTGTGTGCCACATCTAAATATGCCAACAGTACTGTTGAAACCAGTTTGAGGAAGGTACATATAGCTGAATTTCTTTCCAAATACTTATCTGAACCACAGTCAGGTGAGAATGTCACTCTCTTCAACATGGGTTTACTGACTGTCACATTATATGCTTCCCCACCTCATGCCCATATCCCCTGTAGAAGGCTGCTATAGTCTGTCCTGCTGTTTGCTTGAACTTTTATTTATTTATTTATTTATTTTGCTTAGTGTAACTGCCATTGATCCATGTCTCACAACACCCAAAGGCTATACTGAAGATATTTGATAGTGACAAATGTACTACTCTGTCCAAAAAGTATCCTACTTTGGGCTGGGAAAACAAAGTTCTATATCTGGGTGGTTATAATACCCAATCCCCTTCAAAGTAGGCCCCTTGTTACTCCACACACTTAGCCCAGAGGTCCTTCCATCGCTGGGAGAATTTCTGGAAGGCTTCTTTTGGAATGGTGTGCAGCTGTGCTGTCACATTCTGTATGAGGTCCTCATGGCTGTCAAAATGGGAGCCTTTTAACGGTGTCTTCAATCTCAGGAACAGCCAGAAATCATAAGGAGCCATATCAGGAGAGTAGGGAGCCTGGCGAACCTGCGGAGTGCCATGCTTGGTCAGGAAACCCTGGATCAGGTGTGATGAATGAGCTGGGGCGTTGTGATGATGCAGCTGCCAGTTGCGTGCGTCCCACAGCTGCGGTCTCTTGCGCCAAACTGCATCATGAAGATGGCAGAGGACTTCTTGGTAGTACACATTGACAGTTTGGCTTAGTGGTGCATACTCACGATGCACAACACCCCGGTAATTGAAAAAAAAAACAGTCAGTATCACCTTCACATTGCTCTGAACCTGTTGTGCTATTTTGGGCATCAGGGATATTGGATGCTTCCATTATGATGCCTGGACCTTGGTTTCCAGGTCATATCTATAAACCCCCTCGTCACCAGTTATCACAGTCTTCAGGAACTCATGATGCCTCTTGGCACACACTAGCATGTCCTATGTGAGCTCAAGGTGGAGTTGTTGCTGCTTCAGTGAAAGCAGCTTGGGCACAAATTTTTCTGCCACTCTTTGCATGCCCAAATCCTCAGTTAAAATTGTGTTTGTGGAACCTCTGCTGATCCCAACCTCATCAGCAACTTCCTGGATGGTCAAACGACAGTCCTCCATGATCCGTGTCCACACTTTTTCAGTGACATCAGCATTTCGGCTTGTTGATGGTCTCCTGGTACACTGGTCACTGTCTGCCGACATACAGCCATCTTTAAAGAAGTGGAACCACTTCATGTAGTAAATCATGTAGTTTTAAATGAAATATCTTGAAGGTGGTGGCCACCGTTCTCTATGCACTGATGCAACCGTTTTCTGAAGTTCCCCTCTGCATGTTCCAACATGTGCACCGGAATTTGGGCTACTTCATGCTGAATAACATTCTACAGCTGAAGCAGGTTTGTGGGGCAATATTTAAAAACCTCTGCCTTGAGGTTTCCCCATAAAAAAATCACAGGGCGTTAGATCAGGTGAGTGCGCTGCCCATGGGATGTCACCTCGAAGCGAGATGAGCCGTCCGGGGAACTTTGCCCTCAAAACTGTCATCGAAGCTCGGGCTGTGGAGGCTGTGGCACCATCCTGGTGGAACCAAACATTTCCTAGATGCATTTCTTCAAGAGCTGGTTCGAAAAAGTTTTTAATCATGTCCACATACCGCTCTGAATTGACAGTAACTGCATGATTGTCTTCTTAACCCTTTGGCGCGGTTATTTAAATTCCGCGGCCGCGTCTCCGGCGGTAATATATTCAGGCGGCCATTTAAATTTTGCTCGAAAATGATTTATTCATCATTGTTCTTAAATTCTATGAGATAGGAACATGAAACTTTCACTAAAATGATCTTAAAAGGTGGTTTTATAACCTTACCTTATAATATGAGCGCCCT